ATATATGTTGTGATTCACAGAACCACATGTGATTATTTGTCATTTGGTAAAGTCTAAACTGGAGATTTAAAGGCTTCCCTCTCTGCATGCTCTTTGTCTTCAAACAAAGACAGCTATTTGACACCCATCTCCAGGAGGTCTCACCTAACACCTCAGTGAGACACAAGTCTCACAACTTGATTGGACAGGACTTTTACAGTGACATGTGACTCTGTAATGTCACAGGCCTGTAGAAGGTCTGCTCCCTTCTAACAGATCCTGCTCTTGCTCCAACTGTGGAGCAGCACACACTTATTTCTGGCTGGGCCTGGACCAGCCCAGATGCTCAGACCCTTGCTTCTTGCCCTGAACCATCAAAGGGAGGGCAATTGATCACAGACTCTCTAACCTGAACCAGAAAGGTAGAGGTGCAAGCACAAGGTTTGCAACTGGCTTTCCAGCAACAAGGAACTAAGTGAGTTAGCACCCAGCGTCTAAGTCTGCAAGGACCCCGAGTTACTTGCTTCCTCGGATCAGAACCTTTGTAACAAGGACACAGCAAAGGCTGCATCTGGAACCACAACTCTCCCCAGCCTTCTTCTGCCAGCTAACAGAGCAGCACACCATCAAGTGACTCTTTCTTTCATCCATTCAAGGATCGGTAATGTAACATCTGGGCATAGTTTATCACAGCTTTACAGGCTAAGCAAGACTGTTTAACTTGTTGTATATGATTTAATGCTGTCATTGAGTTATTGTTGTGATTGATTGCAGTTTGGTCATTGATTAGTTGGCTTCACCAAAGCTAAGTGTTTAGTTTGCTAATACTGTTCACAAACAGATTCTTGCACACAACTAAACAATCTCTGCACTAATCCAGACTGTTTGCAACACACGTCACATTCACATAGACTCATTAACAAATAGGCTTTCAACAGAGCTACATCCAAACAGGCATCTCAAAGTTCCCGCTTCTTTTCCTTTGTCTTTGTCCTGACCACACGGTCAGACAAACACCTTCCCCTGAAGCAAGCCTTGATGCGGCCATTTGTAGTCCTCTGTCGTGAGCTATTTTGTTTTGTAGGCCAAACGGCTCTTTGATGATCACACCCGCCTTTGTCTCTCTCTCTCTCTCTCTCTCTCTCTCTCTCTCTCTCGCACACACACACACACACACACACACACACCAAGCTTGTATATAGTTAGTTAGAATTTGTTTGTTTTGGTTTGCTTTGCTAGATTGTACAACAGTGAATGAATAGTCAGCCTCTGCTGCGTCAAGAACTCCGAGATCCTTCAGGCGTTACTGTTAATTTTGGTTGTCATTAATTTAATTATTAATCAAAACTCCAAATTAATAGTTTAGCATATTTTATGAGACTGATATCTTTAACTGGCTATCATTTTTCCCTTTACGGGAATGGTGCCCCACGAGGTGATTTAATGTTAATTAAGTCACATTATTTAACATAATTATTA